GTAGAAAGATGCTGGGCTCCAGGCCTTTTGCTCTGCCAGAACCTCTTGGCTGGGTGGCAAATATCATTGGTGTCACATACACCATTATTACAACAGTGTTGTTCTTGTTCCCACCCCAATTACCCGTCACAGCTTCAAATATGAGTAAGTGTTTTCCCCGATATGCTTACTAGTGTTTATCTAACTGTATGTAGATTACTGTGTTGTTGCATTCGGCATCATCCTTTTCATCAGTACATTCCAATGGTTTGTGGACGGACGCAAGAACTTTAAAGGACCAAGGACGGATATGGGACTTGAGGTTCTCGAAGCTATAGGGAGTCATCAGCAGGATGGCGTGGAACCAGGGCCCCTGAAAGCCACTGATGATGAGGCGGATTCGCATATAATTAAGCCGTAGGGGGAAAACAATCTCCATTCTTGAGACATATTTTTTTAACATTAGAAAACTGCAAATCATTCCTGAATTCATATCTCTGTATCTTCACGTGTTCGCTGGTCGTGCAAAGGGAGTTTGTAAAGACACTATTCCATAGCGCATCGTCCACTCGACCTTAATAATCACTGTTTGGGCACGAAGCTAACGCTTTTTTCTTCAACGGAAAACTGTACACCCATTGCGCATACTATAGTTGCGATTCCTGAGGGTTTGTTTCTTGATTTCGTGTCCCTTATCCACATCTAGTTTGCCACACCTTGTAAGTTGCACGGAAAGGTTCCGCGACCAACTGCCGATGACGGAATGCGTAGTGACCCCGCGTCCTACACTACACGCCTTACTATCCGCAAGATCGTACCCCAGTAACTATTTATACCAGAGTATATGTCTTTTGTACAGACGTATTATTGTAAAATTCGACATTCATAATGGCTGTTACAAAAGTTGCTCTCATCACAGCGAGCTCAGCGGGCCTGGGGGCCCAAATAGCCCGCGCACTGGCGCCAGACTTCCGCGTCGTACGTCGAATAGTCAATTCACACGCTGAGATATAGAAACTTACCAAGTCAGGTGATAAACTACTCTTCCAATTCAGACCGCGCGCAGTCCCTCATCAAGGAACTCTCATCCATACCTGGCACTTCCTCGGAAGCAAACCCACGCTTCCACCTCGTCCAAGCGGACATGTCGTCCAAGCCGTCCGTCCAGAGCCTCGTCAAGGAAACAATCGAAAAAATGGGCAGACTAGACGTCGTAGTCTCCAACGCCGGCTGGACTCGCATGACGACCTTCACAGACATCGAGCAACAAGTCAACGACGAAGACTGGGACAAGTGCTTCACTATGAACGTCAAGACGCATCTGTGGCTCGCATATGCCGCCAAAGACGCCCTGGCCGAGACAGAAGGCACATTCATCTCGACAGCTAGTGTCGCCGGTGTCAAGCCCAGCGGAAGCAGCGTTCCCTACGCCGTCACCAAAGCCGCACAGATCCACCTCATGAAGAGTCTGGCTGTTGTTCTAGCGCCCAAGATCCGAGTCAACAGTATTAGTCCTGGTATGCTGTTGACAGAGTGGGGCCTCAAGTTCCCGGAGTCGAAGCGCAATGCTGCTATTAATAATACGAAGTTGAAGAGGTTGGCGACGGTGGAGGATTGTGCGGATCAGGTGAGGGTGTTGGCGCTGAGTCGGAGTATTACGGGGCAGAATATTTGTATTGATGGTGGGTCGTCGGTGTAGTGTGTAGTATAAAGTGAATGGCATGGAGATTCTGTGCATAAGAGGCCTCTTCTGGAAGATGGTATATACAACTTTTGCTCTAGGAAATTTTCTAAATAAGACATGGTTCAGAGGGCAGAAAATTTCATCACAATACCGAAACCTCTCATCGTACCTAGTGGTATTCCTCTCCACCCTCATCTCCCGTGTTGGGTCGAGGGTCATTTCTATTCCCCCTCAATGCGGCGACTGCATCTTCATCCTTGCGGTACAGATCCTTTAGGTATTTCTTGAAGGATCTGGACATCTCCACCGTTGCCTCAATGTGCTTTTGCTTGATAACGATGCAACCGCGATTGTCTCTTTCCTCGTCGGTTTCCGCCAATGACACGGCAATCTGGAAGGCTGGAGCAGAAAAAGTTTAGTATCCATATGTTAGAAGAGAGATGAGACAACCTGTGACGTACCGTTTCTGATCTCACGACCATTCCATTGCAGCGACTTGAGCTCTTTGCACTCGTCGATGTATGCTCGCGTGTTGTTATGCACTCTAATCTCGCCCTCCCTTTCGCGCTCTAGTTTTTGGAAAAACGATTCCCAGACTTCTGCTCTGGCCTTGTCGGAGAATGGTGGGTAGTATATCGTCAGATTGATTCTCGAAATGAAAGCTTCGTCAAACATGCCCACTCTGTTTGTAGTGAGAAAGAGGATACCCTGGTAGTATTCCATTGCGCGTAGGAATGAAGCGACAAGACTGTTGCGCTCGATGTCTTGAACGCGCCGGTGCTCCATGAAGATGTCGGCTTCGTCGATGAGAAGGATGGCGTTCCATGCTTTTGCGTACTTGAAGAATACCAGCAGGTTTTCTTCAATTTTAAGCGGGTCTGTTCCAATATCGGCACATGTGACAGTTAGAAGAGGGCGCTCAGCATTGGCAGCAATGCATTCTAGGGAAGGAGTCAGTCTTTGAGCGAATTAATGTGTTTGTAGTGTCTTGTTATACCGGCTGTGTAAGTCTTCCCAACACCTGGCTTTCCGTGCAAAAGAAAGATTAGCCCCTCGCCTTTACCTTTGACGAAATCGGGTGACCACTGCTTTGTTGATGCCGGTGTTTTTGAATTTGTGACCTTTTGGCCAAATTCCGCTTCACGTTCTGCTTCTGCTTGTAGTCCGATGAGATATTTGCGAGTCAGACCTTGGATGAGCTGCTTGATACGCGGTTCCTTCATCACGAGTGTATCTATCATCGACTTGTCATATTTTACTGGACGGAATCCTGCGACATCCAGGTGACCTGTGAACTGGTCAGTTATGTCTGCAAGGTATATAGAAACTGCTGCACATACACCACTGGCGTTGTTTCAACACATATGCAGGTGAACTATAATCGCAAAGGAAATACTGGTGGTCCGTCATACCAGACCCGCTAACGAAATTGATGTTCGAATAGCCACTGAACCTATACGGCTTGCGTTGCGAGCTTATAGTTTCACGGCAATTGTTGCAGCAGTTTCGGTCAAATACCTGCCCGTAATCCGTTTCTGGGTCGTCTTTGCTCGTGGGCAGTTTATCATATCGCTCGTTGTACCGGTCGTCATCGGCAATGACCAGTCCTTCTATCTAGACCGTGTCAAAATAATCGAAAAGCTTGATTTGGGAAAGCTTACCGGGTTCCGGGGGTACGAAGTGGTATATCCCCGGAAGTTCCAGCAACCCAGCCGCCTTAGCTGGAAGTAGATCTTGCCCCTCTCTTCGAAGTACTGCCTGGCGTCTTCCTTTTCTCCCCATATCTTGCTCTGGGTACGGTATTCAAAAGGGTAGATCGCCAAAGAACTGATCTTGACTTCGCCTGCGAACGGTTCAATTGAATCGTCTGTTACGGACGGACAGATGGAAAGCACATTGTATTCCATATTCCAAAGTTTGAAGGAAATAGAGCGGACAGTTTCGTTTACAACAGAACAGTTTTGTGATCTTATCACATATGGTTGATACTCCCCGGTGTTATCCCTATCATACAGCACATCGATTCCAGGAGGGAAAAGGAGCCATAGCATTTCAAAAGTAGCCATTCCTCTTGCATGGCGCTCGTGTTCAACTCTTACTGCTGCACCGACCGCCGCCTTGACGAAATTTCTGACTATGCTAATGTGCCTATAGGCATACGTGCCTGGGCAAGCGCCCCCGATACAATCTGATGATGCGAGTCTTTCCTGGTACTCAGCGAGAGCGTCTTCATGGTGAATCAGAAGTGAGTATGGCCAGTCAATTCTGACTTTTCGCGCTCCGAGATCGTAACTGGGAGCATAATCAACCACGCTTCGTAGGGCTTCCAACACTGCTGGAGATGTAATTTCAATATAGGAACCCCCATGTGAGTCGAAGGGCGGAAGCTTGAAAGTCTTTTCATCTTTTGTCTCATTATGAGGGGTTTCCGTTTCTTCTGTGGTACCTTTCGGGTCTGCCTTCGTCTGTTCGTAGAAATCGGACGCATCAACATCAAGCCATGTACTCCGAACATCGACAACCTTCCTATAGATACTGGTCATTTGTGTGATAAACAATAATTTTAGATATGCTTTTTACATTACTGATGACTGAGGCAACGTAGACTGTTCATATTCGTGTGCTCGTCTTTTCAATGTTTCACTGTGCAGATGCCCTCCAAATGGATTTTCGTACCGAATTTCGTAGGTAACCTCCCCAGGCCATTCTTCCTCATTATCTTTGGAGCTGTCGACGTTGGCGCTACTATCTGTAGGCGGCATCCCAATCCCTGAATCTCGAATTAAAATGCGGGGTTCGCTCGAACCTGGGGTGACGGTCATCTTTCAGAGTCGTTATTGCAGGAAAAGGAGCTTTCTGAATAGAGATCATTGTCAAGAAAATAAACAGCATATGGGAGACTTCCCTGATACATATCAGCAATCACAAAGACACGATGCTGGCGTTCCATAGCCTTGCAGATTTGGCCCCCATCCAATGGCCCCCACACTTTAGAAATAGCTCGGCCTGACCGAACTGTTTGATAAAGCCATGCATGTAATGGGATAGGTGAGAATTGATCACCCAGAAGCGGGGTACAAGCGGGTAAAGGTGATGAGCAGCATGCGGCGCAAGGCTAGGCGTTACCCTATCCAATGGTGACTCGCCACGTCCAGGTTTTCCGGTCAAGAAGTTGATATGCACATGCCAAATATACATTCTGATGGGTAATGTCCGAGGCATTCTTTTGAAGCGCAATTCGGTAGCCATGAGGCTGATTACAGAACTGTTTTGGACGTATAAGGCTGTAAGGCCGATGCGATTTGGAAGCTAGATTCAAGGAAGGCAAAGCGTCAACATGGTAGAATTCAAAGCATCCGAGGAAGAGAAGTATGTGCCACGAGAGATCGTGCGGGTTTTTTCTATGCGCATTAAAGCAGAATATGAGGATCGTGATGATAGTGGAACAGAGCTAGAACAAGCCCTTGTGGAGAAGGCTGAAGACGATGAGAGCCAGCAGAAGAAACGCATTCGGCAGATCAATGAATACCTCAACTCTACTAGGTAAGGACTTTTCTATAGTCATATAGACATGTAATGACTGCTAATAAGATATCTGACATAGGCCCCAGGAACTGGCGAGGTTGAGTCAGCTTAGAATTTTGCTGGAGCGTTCCATGCGTGAATTCCGCGCCCAAGTTCAGAAGGGTCAGCCCAAGGATGCCTTTCCCGAGAAAATTAGCTCCTGGGAGGACGTTACGTCGATAGTCGAAGATATGATGAATCGCTTACAACAAAAGAAAGAAAAGGACAAATTTCGGCGGGCCACTAAACACTTCCGTACATTCTGCAACACAATCAAGTCGCACTCTACGGCTTTGAAGATGTTGCCAACAAGCAATGATTATGTCACAGTCTTTTATGGAGCTCTTGCTACAGTAGTTCAGGTTTGTTGTCCATAAACAAAGGGATCTGCGCGCTGAACAACTATTAACGATGTCGCAGGCCTCTGAAAATTACACCAAAGTGATGGAGGCGTTACCTAAGGCACTGGTTGAGATCAATGACGCAGTCGCTGCAATAGAGAAGCGCTCATGGCTTTTCGAAAACAACACGATGAAGAGTTACATGTGGCGTGTTTACAGTCAGATCTTTGCGTTTCTTGGAGAAATCATCCAATGGTACACCAAGCGTTCTGCTCAACGTCTTCTCGGTAGCTTCAATGAAAGCCTCCTCGACTTTTTCGACGATCAAGTCGAAGAGATCCAAAAACTAGCAAAGCTAGTCCACGACGAGGCTGATTTTCGGGCTCAAGCAGATGCCCAGATTAGTAGGCTTTATCATGAAGAGATGGAAGGCAAGCTTGATAAATTCATGACCAAGCTTCTCGAAAGGGATTCCGCTCAACATGATGTTCTTGGCCGAAGATACGAACGCTTCTACGAGGAAATGGAACAAAAGCGACGGGAAGAATTTTCCAACAAGGAGACTCTCGAGAACATACTTGTGGGTGTTTTGAACAAGATAAAAAAACAAGAAACAGGCGCTGCGATGTCTGAGATCCTCGAGGGAGATGCTCGAAAACGACTAGTTTGGCCAGAGGACGCGGTATATATCGAAAGAGCTAAGAATATCAACACTCCCAGATCAGGTCAGGCATTTGATTCACGCGCGCTAATGCAGCAAAATCTTGAGGATTCTTATGCTCCGGAAGTCACAAGAGACACCCTACTTCTAAGTTCGTCTGGACTGGAAGACCACTTCGACCGCGCCAAACTTGTGATACCGGGAACTTTCGAAAACAATACCGCTGTTGTAGATCCGGAAGTAGCAGACCGAATAAGATTGTGGATGATGGCAACTGATTCTCAGATCCTGTACACCTCTGGTTCAGATCCTTTTGGAGAAATCGCTCATGCTTCGGGTGCGGCAGGTCAGTATACGAATGTGATCCGAGAAGCGGGTTTGCCCGTTTGCTCGTATTCATGCTCACTCGAGGCTAAAGACCCACCTAAAGGCCGTACGCGCGAAACAATGGAGCTGGTTGCTTTGGTGTATAGTTTAATACGCCAGTTGATCGAAATTCTTCCGCCAGTTATTGAGTCAGACACCACATTGATCCAAGATGTCCATTGGGATGAATTGGACGGAACTTTGAGAACGTTCCCACGGGCATTAGAGGTTCTGGAATGGCTTTTTTGTAACACCGGAAATTCTGTCATCTTCATTGTCATTGACGCTACTGACTTGCTGGACGATCCAAGCCGCAGGAGTACGGATAAATGGCTCACATGCTTGCTGCAACTGTTCAGGAAGCTTCTAACCATTTCTCACGGCACTACTCTCAAAATATGGTTCAATTCTGGTGGAATGTCACCTATATTGTTCAAGTCGTTGGAAAGACATCAAATTGCGATTTCGACTTCGTCAGCAAGGTCTGGCAAGCGAGCGTTTGGTAGTGAGGTTATAATGATGTAGCACCAAGGTAAACCCTTTTCAATCATCTTAGGAGTTCCATAGCCTTTGGCCATTTATTAGTCAGTTATCGTAATGATCTGTATTTTCACAATCTATAGATGTCTGGGACCTTCCATTCCTTTTTACTCATAACTTGACGAGACTCACGACTGGCTATCGAAGAGCTCTCGCCACGGCAGCACCGTGACCCATCTCTCGCCTTTGATGCTAGAGTGGCTGATTTAGAATTTTCTTTCGAATTGTCTTGTATCGATATACTGTGGGCTTGTAAAATGGTTCGATTGGCTGAAGCAATTGAGCTTGGCCTTGACGTTGTTAAGGGTCTCAGCGCGATGCTTGTTCGTGCCCCACTAAGTTCCCCTGTTATTAGATCTCTAGCATATTCTAGAGATAAGCCTGTAGTTTTGAATCCTTGGGTGAAACCCTTGAGCGTGGGTGTTGTGGCAGATATGAGGCTGTAACATAGAAGAGTGCTTTGCCAAACGACAGTCGGGACGATTTGGATAGCAGTCTGGCGCTCATTGACGAATTTTGAATATGCAATCAGATAGATAAGAGAAAAAACGACATTTCTACAAGGATGATGTTGGTGCTTTCTCAACAATACCATATATAGATGAGAAGGCGACTTACGGTATTCGAGTGAAAAAGGCCACCATGACGATTGCCTTATCCTCAACATGCATTTTATTACGATATAGACCCAGAAGTGGTATTAGAACAGTGAAACATTCGGTGATAATATCAATGATAGTAAGCGCTTGCATCCAAGGGATCTGATCAATCAGCGGATACTTGAGCAAGGGATTAAAAACACTTACAGAACTCACGCAGTGATTGATGCCAGACTTGGGTATAATTCTCTCAACTCTACACCCAATCGGAACTGAAATCACTCCAGCTATGCCCCATATCGCGAGAAACGCGATGGTGGCATTGGCCGTGTATGTGACTTTTGGCATGCTCCCAAAGACATCTGAGATAAGGACAAGAATAGAGCTCTTCGAGAGGGCTAGTGCGATATAAAGTAGGATTCGGGCAGCAAAGAAGGTCTGGTAACAATTTCAGCACGCGCTCTCACCCTTTTTTTTCCTCTTACGAACCTGCTGCACTCGTGGTATGTCTACATCATCAAGGATATCATATGATTTTCCAAGACCATGCCCAATAGACGTCAGTAGTGTTACCCACATTCCAGCCCCCACAACCTGCATAATAATTAGTAATGTTTGCCTCAAAAGAAAAATTAGAGGAGCTCAAATTCATACATGTGCCAAGATAACGACAAGATCATCAAAGCCATATGCTCTCCATTTTGTGTATCCTAGACGTATTCCGAGGACCAAGGTAGCATATATGGGTGATAGAATAATAATTATCCAAAGCGTAGCGCTATGGTCGTGGGGTGTGATGCGAGCGAAACGGTAATCTGATGGAGACGCAGTTGAGAAAGCCATTTGTTACATTCAGCGAAGCGGGCACGAAGGAGAAAAATTCAATGAAGCACCAAAAATGCCCTCTGGTTTTCTTCTGGTCACCTGGGGCTCATGGAATGGTTGGCAAAGCAGAAAAAAACATATGAAACCGATCAATGGGCCATATTATCAACCCATCGCCCTATCATTTACAAGATGCACCAAACGTATTTTAAAGTCCAGAAATTTATGTCCAGTTTTGTCCATGCTAATGAAAAATCTTTCCTCATAGATTGTCCTGCCACGCAATCCAAACTGTATATGACATGATTACAGCCGAAGTACCGAACTCACAGCCTCATCTCTGGTATCTTTGTGTCCTTGTTCGGCAGTTGCCTCACAGTGTCATAGTCACACGGAAAGAGGACTCTTATCGGATACTGCGCAGCGACCAAAATTGCATGGGTTTTTAAGAACGAAACATCCTCATACGTTGATGTTTTTCATAATGCGGAGTTCCCAAGTCCGAGTCAATGCGTTTGGCAACATGGCGGGGGTGCAGGTACCGATGCACTGGTAAAGTCATACCGAAAGGGGTGTTAATTCAGTAATGTATATATGGGTTACCTATCATCCCGCGCGAATCCGAGGGAAAGACGTGATTTTAGTGGTTAGAAATGTTCAACTCACAAGACGATATGAACGGGCCGCAACTTCGCTTGGCTGTAACCTTCGTTGCACTAATTTCTGACCTCAACAGCGATCGCAACTGGCTAGTTCTCCGCTCTACCTACCTATTTCGGTTTTATTTTGTTGGTATGCTTTCTCAGTTGAAGATTAATGCTGGTTCTGGACTGTCCGCTGACTGTGTGTGTGCGAGTAGAGTTTCTTGGCAGTTTCCAAAGTTTGCCGCTCACTCTTGGTACGTTCTCTGGCTGGCTATCATGGTACGATTATTGGTTTCTGGAAATGGTCTATAGTGGTATCTTGTGATCTGTTGTATAGAGACCATGCAAGAATTTTCCTGAATAGTACATTTCCCATTCAACTATCAAAGCCCCATACCAAGTTGCATGGATTCTCACAACTTTGCAGCTCCACAAACTTAATCTTGTCGACTGACAGGCGTTTTGCGGTAGTTATATGGCATCCCTGGAACAACCCATCAAGATGAATCGCTGCCCACATGTCAGAGGCGCCTTTCGGAGAAATAGCATCAAAGGTTCTTGTGTCACAAACCTTCATTGTCTTTTGAATCATTGTCCACATGTTTCATCTCTCTGCCTGATGTTTCTGTCTTGGAAGAAGTTCCACCAAACATGAAAGGTCTTACAGATACAGTCGATTCCGACGAAAGTATCGAACTAGCAAATACACCCATTGTAAACAAAAAACATGGCACGCAAAGAGACGAACGAGATATGGATCGCATGGGCAAACGCCAACAGCTCAGGGTACGTTCACGAGCTCTGCGATAGAGCTGCAAGATACCAATATAGCCTCAGCGACAATTCAAGTTTTTGTCAATCTATGGATTCGGCGTCGTCCTCGGTTGCACGTGGGAATACTCCCTGATGTACGTCCCCAACCCAACTGATCCAGAGGCAACCTGACATATCTTCAAAGCGGAACCGGTATCTCCCTCTTCAATGGAGGACCTGCCGGCGGCATCTGGATGCTCCTCGTCGTCTGCTCCGGCATGCTATGCGTTACCCTTTCCTTCGCAGAAATGGTCTCTATGTACATCAACACACCCACCCGCCTCCAAAAAACAGCTCACTAACTCTCCAAAGGGCCCCAATAGCCGGTGGTCAGTATCACTGGGCATCCGAACTCGCACCACCCAAACAGCAAAAATTTATAAGTTACATAGTCGGTACGCCACCACCTCACACCTTCTCTGCATCACCCTTCTCTATATCGCACTAACAACCGCTTTGCCTGAAGGCTGGCTCACAGTCTTCGCCTGGCAAGTCAATGTCGCAGGTACCTCCTACGCCGTAGCTCAGCAAATCCAAAGCCTCATCGCCTTGAACCTCCCCTCATACACGATAAAAGGCTGGCACGGGACCCTCCTCTCCATCTTCATAACCCTCTCTTCTATCCTCTGGAATACGCTCCTCGTCAATAAACTACCTTTAATGGAAGGCATAGCCCTAACCCTACACATGCTCTCTTTCTTCGCCTTCGTCGTAGTCCTCTGGGTGATGGGACCCCGCGCAAACGTACACGATACATGGACGGAGTTTGACGATCCGAGCGGTTGGGGTAACAAAGGTCTTGCGACGCTCGTGGGGATCCTGGGTCCGTCGTTGACGATTGGCGGGTCGGATCTTGCGGTGCATCTTGCGGAGGAAGTGGAGGATGCGGCGGATGTGATGCCGAGGGCTATGGTGGCGACGTCGCTCACCAATTACATACTTGCGATTGTAATGACTGTGACGGTTTTCTCGAATTTGGGGACGGAGAGGGCAGGGGTGAGGAAGACGGAGTTGGGGCAGCCGTGGATACAGATTCTGGCTAATGCGACTGAGTCGAGGGTTGCAGCGAATGTGATGACGGTGGTGGTTGTGCTGATGATGCTGTTCGCCTGTATTAATCAGTTGACGGCTGCATCGAGACAGTTGTGGTCTTTGGCGAGAGATGGGGGGTTACCGTTTTCGGGGTGGCTTTCTCATGTATGGCTGGCTCTTTTCCATCGACACCTGCAGTATTCGAGAATGTTGGCTAACACAATATGTAGGTGCCGAAAGGCCGGGATATTCCCCTCAACTCGGTAGTTTTTACCTTTATGTTTACGGCACTTGTATGTCTTCTCATCATCGTTTCGCCCCTCGCTTTCAACATCATAGTGGCCTTGGGAACTTTTAGTGGCTCCATTGGCGATACCACAATGATCAGCTGCATGCTGAGAAGAAGGTTGCTTGGAGAGCCTATCCTTTCTTCTCGCTTCAATCTTGGTAGAGCAGGCATCTTAGTGAATTTTGGCGCTGTTTCGTATAATGTGCTTGCGATTGTCTTCCTCGCCTTTCCAGAAGCACCGTACCCCTCCTTGGTAAACATGAATTGGTCATGTCTTATGTTTGGTGTTCTTTTCGGCGTTGCAGTGGTGTACTACTTTCTCTTTGGTAGGCGTACCTACAAAGGCCCAGTAGAGTATGTTAAGAAGTCAGTGTAGTATGGGGGCTCTAGCATATTGAACGATATGAATTATCTCTCAGTGCGTCGGCTGTATCTATTAATACCACTGTGTGTACTAAAAGCGCAGCCAAGTAAGGAATTGCACTGGTTAGGTATGAAGCATCCATTATCCTTACCTACACTGAGCTCCAAGTTAACAAAACCCATTCATCAGTCCAGCTATTGTTCCGGATACGTCGCGCCCCAAGGCTGATAACCATCTTCCTGGAAAATCTTCTCAAGTTGCCGTCTCCTGACCCCAATATTTCCACCATCAAACAACGGAAGGCAGGCCGCATCTTGCAGAATCTTGGAAAATGGCATGTCCTCGGCATAAGATTTCCTGTACACATATTCCATTAGCATCTCGACCACACGTTGGCAAATTAGGCAAATAACATGGGGCAACTTACATGCCCACAACGCTCATACACCCCAGTACCACCTGAGTGACCTGCTCACTACACCAGATCTTTGCTTCAAGAGCAACTTCCAATCTCGCCTGCCAGCCCACCTTCTCCTCTTTACTTTCCAGCACACACATGGCCTTCCACACCAATGCACGCGCAGCCTCAATCTTCATCTTGGCATCAATCAGCCTATCGCTCACACTTTGATGTTCCAGCACAGGAATCTTCCCGCCCCGGTTTTCGTTTTTGCAAAAGGCGAGCGCAGCTTCGAATGCGTGACGCATAACGCCAACGCACATTGCGCCGACAATAGCTGCAGACATGCCAAAAGTCTGTTCGACTACTTGGGCGCCCTCTCCCGGTTTGGCGAGGACATTGGCGGCAGGGACTCGGAAGTTGGTGAAGCGGGAGTGGGGCCCATTGACGGATTTGTGACCCCCTAGCGAGGGGTCTGCAAGGACTTGGTAGGCAGAGGGGTCGTTAGAGGCAATATCAGAGCGGGTAACCAGGAGGATGAGGATGTTTGAGATTGGGTCTGAAGCAGGGTCCTGGGGGATATCGGGTTTTCCTTGTCGGCAAACGATGCATTGGAGATCGGCTCCGCGCTGGTCCCAGCCTCCAGAGTTTGTGGTCCATAGCTGTATAGCTGTTAGTATGAAATACTTATCACATAGTTATTGTGATTGGATCAAAGAATTCAAGTCGTTCGTTCAAGACACACCTTTTCTCCATTAATTATCCATTCTTCTCCCTCTAGATACGCTGTAGTCTGCAAGCCTGGTGCTCCTTTCTCCAGCCAATTAGCGGTCCCCTGAGGCTCACTATGTACAAAGCTTGCGAGTCTCTCTCCCGTCTGTTCTAAGAATGGTGCAAGAAATTTCTCATGTTGCTCCTTGCTTCCGGCTAGAATCAAAGGCGTAAGACCCAGTCCAGTACCCAAGATGGTGATTGCAGTACTTGGCTCTACGGCATGGAGCTCTTCTATCACAATGGCTGCGTCGACGAGTCCGGCAGAAGTGCCCCCTAAGGGTACGGGAATTTGGCCCTTGATAAGACCCGCAGATACGGCAGTCTGATATATGGGAAGGGTGGACTGAAAGCGCTCTGTCTGTGTGGCCAGGTGGGAGTAATGGGTCGGAGCCTTGGATAGAACGGTGTTAGCAAAGGCGTGGACATTGGCCCGGAGCTCCTTTTGTTCAGGTGTAAGGGATAAATCAATCATGATGTTTGTGTTCTGTGATTAGACGTCTTTCTTTCAAACATCTTTCCTCAGACCAGTTTATCTCCAAGGCCCATTTATATAAAATGGATCATGAGGCGTCCCATGTGCCAGCTTATTAAGCTAATGCGGTCAGCTACATCGCGTGTCCAATAATTTCAGAGGATTTTTCTCTTGGCCGGACCTTTGTCCTGATTTGATCTGAGGTCAGAAATGAGAATGGAAAACGCGGATGCTTGCGAAAGAAACGGGGTATCTTATTGTAACTCTTGGGTCTAGGCCCTTATTGCAAAGCTGGCAGATCATCATCGCAGGCCAGAAATGTCTCTCGACATTGAATGAACACGGGCTTCAAGCTCCTTTTTCTTCTTCTCTAACTGGCGTGCTTCCTCTTCCTCCCGTCGCAAGTCTTCCTCAGTCAAGGGCGCAACTGGCTCAGGCTCACATTGGGTCTCGTCAGCCTCATCTATGTAATCCTCTCGTGATCGATTCAGCTGTTCGAGCTGGACTTGCTGTTCTGCTAGTCGCTCTTCGTAGTATTGTACTGATGCTGCGACTTGAGCATATCGTTGGCGCAAGGTTGCAATCTTGTCGTGCACGCCTGGTATTGGGCTGAGTCTTGTCAGCAAGGTTGAGCCTTGTGCTCTTTGACTACACATACTAGACACCAAGAAGCTTCTCGGCTCCTTCCAACAGCGACTCGACGTCTATTTCGTTCTTGTTGTTGGGGTTGTACATTCTGTAACCCAAGCCTGAACCCGCACCTCCTCCACCACCTCTCCGTATCCTCTCTACCAGCTCATTGCCCAAGACTGCAGCAACAGCTGTGTTACGTCTAGGCGCTCTTACTGCATTGGCGCCGCCTCCGGATATGCTAGTACCACCCCCTCCATTGGGGTTGAAGATAGTGTTGCGCCTGTTGGTCGATGGAGCGGGTTCCGCATGTTTGGGGGCTGCTGGCGGCGGAGGGACAGAGAAAAGGGCTCGCTCATGAAGCTCAGTATCGCGAATTAGGCTGGTAATATCATGGTTTTGCAGCAGCGCATTGGTGAATATCTTTGGCGGGGCGAATCTGGGACGGGTTCAGTCGAAGGGTTCAGTCGAAGGGTGCAGTCCACAGGCAAGGAACATACGGTAATTCAGCGATAGAGGCCGAGCAAAGCGATATTTGCTCCAGATACGCGTCCAGAAGCGTCATTGTGTGCAATTCCTGAATACGAGGAGGGTATGCCGGGGTGACGCGGGGGTAAACAATGGCGGGCGCTCGGTGCTCGATAACTATTCCCCGATGTTCCGCGCTGGCGTCAGTGAAGCTGGGAGCTCCACCCTCAGCTAAGCATCAACACCACCAACCCTCGCTCACCACTGCCAACCTCCATTGCCACCGATCCTCGCTCCGCACCTTCCTCCCTATCCGCAGAAATTACAAGAGCGACCGTCATGGCGGACAGCATGGAAGGCGTCGTTACGGCGGGCGAGACGCCCAAAACCGAGAACGTGGAGCAGAAGGCCATTGCTGGTAAGTCGCCCAATCTGCACCCTACAGTATGCATTTTACCTCAAAATGCCCTTGTGTCGGCTGCATGACGGCATGGTCGGTCCGCAAGATGTGTACCAACCATATGATTGCCACCGAGAGTGCGGCCTGCAAGTACCTGGCCCAGAGTGCTGATCCAACGACTGTAGATATCCGCAGCAACTTTGTCCTTCTCGAGCGCGCCGTGGCCCAGTTCGATACCCGCTTCACTCTGCGCGCTCTCCGCTCAATATCTTCTCTCCGCAAGAGGCTCACCGACCGCGTACTATGTTCCGTCGTCATCTTGACATACTCGCCCAACAACGCCACAGCCCGGACTTTCATCGAGTACATCGGCATGGACGGCGAGGCGATACAGAGCGTCGTATCTCAGTATAAGGAGGAGGTACAACTCAACAAAAACAGCACCAAGGAGCCATTGCCCGAGGTAGACGTCTACATAGCCATCTTGATACAGGTATGTTCGTTATGGGTGCAGGGCGGACAGCGACTGACGGGAATAGGTATATCTCTACGACCAGAAGGAGTTTGAAGAGGGCGCAGAGTTCTCCGAAAAGCTGGTAGACAAGATCCGAGAACTGAACAGACGGACACTTGACTCGCTCGCGGCAAAGGCCTATTTCTACTTCTCACTCTTCCACGAGGAGATGGACCCCAAGCCCCCATCCAAGCAATCGGCCGTTATCACTATCCGTGGAAAACTGCTTGCTGCTCTCCGAAGCGCTGTTCTCCGAAAAGACCCCGATACCCAAGCCTCTGTCACTACGCTGTTGCTCCGAAACTACCTCTCGACCGCCGACATCACACAAGCCGATTTGCTTGTGGCGCAGACGCAATTCCCAGCCAATGCTCCCAATAACCAGGTTGCGAGATACCTGTACTACCTTGGCCGCATAAGGGCTATCCAGCTGTCCTACACCGAGGCACACGAGCATTTGACCAGCGCGACTCGCAAGTCGCCATCTGCGCACTGCGCAACTGGCTTCTATCAGGCTTCTATGAAGCTTCTTTGCGTTGTCGAGCTATTGATGGGTGACATTCCCGAGCGCGATGTCTTTAGCCAGCCCCGCTTGGAGCGTGCCATGGAGCCCTACTTCCGTCTGGTCCAGGCTGTCCGTGTGGGTGACTTGCAGGGCTTCTTGAAGGTGGTTCAACAATCTTCATCCGTCTTCCACCGTGATGGCACTTACACGCTTATTCTTCGTCTGCGACAAAACGTCATCAAGACGGGCATCCGTATGCTGTCGCTTTCCTACTCGCGCATTTCGCTCCGCGACATCTGCATCCGCCTTGGTCTCGAGAGTGAAGAGTCAGCCGAGTACATTGTCGCAAAGGCTATTCGCGATGGAGTGATTGAGGCGTCAATTGACCACGAGAAGGGTTTTATGCAGACAAAGGTGGCTGGAGACATCTACGCAACCCGTGAGCCCGGCGAGGCGTTCCATGAACGTATTCGCGCGTGCCTGACTTTGCATGACGAGTGCGTCAAGGCAATGCGCTACCCAATGAACCAACACCGCCTAGAACTTAAGAACGCACAGGAGGCGCGCGAGAGGGAACGCGAGTTGGCCAAGGAGATTCAGGACGGAGACATTGATGAGGATGATGCGGCTGGTGACTTTGAGGGCTTGTAAGCGGGGTCTGACAGTCGAGCGTGTACGATAGCCATGTGCGGAACTGGTATTAGGAAGCGCTTGCAGAGACGAGATAGATCAACATGTTAATGATGCATGAATAGAACAGACTTGAGACGACGCAAGGCTCGCAAAAGTGCCTGTATCCCACTACTGATGCAGAAGCATGTGACAAAAGGCAAGCGTGCCAAACCAAAAGGACATCCATGCCGCACATCGATGCATGTGCTAGCCAGTTGCAGCAAGACGCCGTTTCGTGAATTAGTAGCCCCCGCAACCAGCTCAAGACCCAACGCGTTGCTGCCCCACTGCCCGTCCTCCCTCACGTCACGACTTGACCAGATTGCCAATGCTCTCTTGGGAACTACACCATGCTTGATTGGGGCAGCCATGTAAGTCCTATCTCGTCAATTTCACATACGCCAATGCATAAGACAGACACCTTAATTGTTCTGACATCAACATCAGGATTGACGTACCCCGGCGTCTGCGGCGCGCCATCTTACTGAACGACCTCTCGCTGGTCAAGCGCATCATTCGTAACAACCCCAACTACATCCGCAACCCAGACTTTGACGATCGTTCAAACACCTCGCTGCACCTTGCCGCAAAGAATGGCTTCACAACCATTGCCGAGTTCCTCGTCGATGCCGGTCATGAAGATGGCATGATCAGTCGCAACAATGACTGGGAGACGCCACTAATGCTCGCCGCCATGGCCGGCAAAGAAGAATGCGGCGTCTACCTCGCCAAGCGATTCCCCGAATGCGTGGGCTGGAAGAACAAGGCGGGCTTGGATGCGCTGATGCTTGCGTGCAAGTCAGGGTCTGGCACCTTGCACTTGATTCCCACGCTGATCATGCACGGCACGAATATACTGTCTGCATGTGATAACCAGGGCAATACGGCGCTGCATCATGCCTCTGCAGCCGGCGAGCTGAAGGCATTGAGAATGTTGCTGCAGTACGGTGCGAATCCGGTTGCCAGCAATAGTTATAGCTGGACGCCGGTACACTACAGTGCAACGAGCGCAGCAGAAGCGTATTTCAAGACGCTGATTATCGAGTTTGAGAAGAAGAAGGCTGAGGGGAAGCGGCTGAATGCTGAGAGGGAACGTCAGCGTTCGGCGGGTGTGCGGCTGGTTACGGATCCGGAGGGGTTGAATGGTGCAAAAGAAGCGAATGCGAATTCCAGACCTGATGGTGCTGGCCATCGTAGGAGCGGCAGTAGACAGAGAGCAAGAGACGATGCGGCCATTGCGGGGCTGCCCGCTCCCGGTATGGAATGGAGTCCCGTAGAGAAGCGGAGGGCTATGACGCCGACTGAAGGCCGTGGCTGGGCTTTTTCTGCTGATGGTATTCGTCCGAGAGCTGATACTGGGGAGTCTATTTAGGGTGTACGAGGCTTGTGTATTCTATGTTTGGGTATGGGGAGTTTGGGTGTTTCTTGTACTACTATGACTGTTCAGACGGGGAACCATGACACGCTTCGTCTAAGGGTTTTGTTAGAATACGAATCCCACAGATGTCCTGCTAGAACAGGAGTCGTGTGGAATTGAATCAGTATTTCAAGTATGGAGTGTTCGTTTGGTACAGTCTTTGTCGTGTGGGATGGACAGTATGTGTGTTTGAACAGACGTCCAGATGCTACAGCAAGGCTTGAGGTTTATATATTGATCAGTTTTCCACCTTACGGCAATGTCAACAGGGATTTGTGAAGAGGAATTGCCGGCCTTTTGTTGGCTTAATCCAAATTGCATACATGAGAAAAGTATCAATAACGCCATTTACCATGCTATATCCCATGCAGCTCACTGAGCCTTTTCCGCCCTTCCCTTATCCTTCTGCAGCCCATTTCGTCCATTTAGTTATTCCCAGCCCCCAATTCCAATCATCGACATGGAAAAAATCGTCAAAGAAAGTCCAACCATGATAACACCAACAGCAAGAAAAGTCATCATAAAGAACATTGCTCAAAACCCTCCAATGCCTTCATCTCCACTATCCTCTTCTTCTCTTTGTTCCTTCCTCCCCTTCTCACTCCCATCCCCACGATCCTCCCCTTTACTCAGCACACCCCCCAATCCAACAGCCACCTGCCCATCCTCCTCCCCATCCTCATAATACCCCCACTCAAACCCAATATCCTCCAACGCATGCGGCGCCTCTCTATCCTCGATTTTGCATTTCACCTCTCTTAGCCCCACCGCTAATATCGACTCATCCTCTAGCTGCTTTGAGGATTTAGAGTGGATGTCTGATGCGGAGTCTACGCGGCGCACGGAGGTTGAGGATGCGGTAGAGGAAGAGGGCTTCTGCGTGGTTTCCAGGGCGGTGACGAGGTAGATTGGTTTACGTTGGAGGGTTGTTTTGCGGAGGAAGGAGAGGGTTTGCGGGGAGTGGGCGAGGTGGGAGAGGAATGTGGTGGGGTTTGTGAGGGTTCTGAGGGTTGTTTTTTGGGCGATTGGGACACTGTTGGTTTCGTCGTAGGCGATTGACGGTGTGTGAGATAGGGAGTTGTTGGAGAGAGGGTCGGTGATGAGTTGGCCCAGTGTGAGGGATGTTGGTGGGAGGGGAGCTGGGAGGCGGAGTAGAGATGCCATGGTTGTTGTTGTTGTTGTTTTGAAATTATCGTACGATGTGAATATGAGATTCGAATGTGAGTCTCCAAGGCAGATTGAGAGGTTGAGTACAGTACTCTAAGGCGGCTTGAAAAAGGTGGGTTATTTATCACTAATGCTTCGTCTTTATAAATATATTTCAATTCGACTTCAAGATTCAACGTAGATCCGTGCACTGCAAACTTGGATCATATTCTTCACTCAGCACAGACACTAGAGCACGAGAATCCCTACTTATGCATCCACTCGGCAGTCGATCAGCATGCACATGCTTGACGTTGCGTGACGACGAGCGGTCGCTGCCTCGCTTGTCGTCGGGCGGACGGCGAATGCTCGGCTGAACGCGAGAAGGAACCGGTAGCGATGACGATTTGTATGTCTAAACTGCCCCGCATTATGAAATCGATTACCCCATCGGTAACAAAGGACCACATGCGCTGTTATTTGGACGTGTCTGAGTGGTGGTCTGATGGCGATCGGCTGACTTGTTCCTGAGACGCATGACATCCGAGGCTAGCCTGTGTACCACAACGGAAAAGCTCGGAGCCGCAATGGGAGTCGCAATCGCATGTGCTGCAGATGGTATGTTGTATGACAGAATAAATGAAAAATGTGAGGGGATAAACACCGCATGTACATATATGTGTACGAGTGTGGCAAGATTGATCTCGTGAGTGGTTTTATCTTGAAGCGAAATATCATGGGATTCGACGATGGAAAGAGGAGAAACGACGATATTGGCGGTGAATCCCCGCACTGTTCCCAAGAAATGCCAATGGCTTATCGAATGAGATATCGGCAGTTGGAACAATCTTAAATGCCTCGAGCATGCTACAAGCTGTCATATCTAGTACTGCCGATGCTAGCTTTCGTCCAGAGATAGATTGCTCAAGTCGTCGTTGCTGGGATGGCGCTGGCGTATTCGGAATTCTCTGCAAGAATTATCCAGATGAGAAGTTTTCCATACGGGAGGGATGTTGTGCACATCTCGACTATTTTTGCAACAAAGTAGTGCTCTAGCAGGCGGAGAACTTATCCTGCATTGTCTTATTGGTCGATTCTCACATGTAAGCAATATGGGCTGACTAAGGTGCAGCGTGGCGTTTGTGGCTGGTGGCTGGGCAGACGCAATCGGCGACAAAGACGCGCTTCACATGTGACGTTGAACGTTTCCATCGAACTGTGTCGCCATTGCAGTTTTCACACCATTTCCAGACACAGTAGCGACCGTCGCTTCGTTTGAAAAGAGATGGCAGGAGTCGAGATAGGCCTCTCCGCCAGGTCAAAGGCCTATAGTCTCTTTTGCCCTCGGCAGTGGGCGGGTAGCTAACACTGCCACACAACGACATGAGCAAGGTGCCGCAGGCATGACGACTCGACTCGGCTCTCGAGCCATGATTGCAGCCCACGCAAACATCCACCACCAATAACAACATGGCAGAGCCAGCACCCAATGCAGCGAGCAGCCAGCCTCGGCGCCAAAATGCCCTCGCCGAGATCCAATTCGCCTCTATCATCGACGGTGACCTCACTCCTTCCGAGGATGAGACGCCAGAGGAGAGGGCCTTGGAACTCGAGACAGTGCAGTCAGCCATAGGCGTCAGCATTGGCAGACAGCAGACGCGTCTCACCTCTCCAAAGACACCGGCTGCGGAAAAGGCTGCGGCTCTCGACGCGACCGAAGATGGGGCCTTCTTCGACGGCTGGCAGGAGGCTACCGAAACGTCTCCAGAACGGAAAACACCGGCATTGCCTGCACGCATACCAGAGTCACCGACGGTGACATCCAAGCATACCGAGAAACCCGACCTCAAGCCAGCGTCCGCCCAGACGGCAAGGAATGCCGACCGTGGGCAACAATCGGATCCGTCAACGCGCCTTCCCTCACCATGGCGCGCCGGCCCAAAGACATTTCAGAAGGAGAAGCAGGGCGATCATCGCGCTATGCTGCGCCAGCACCTGCATAGTGGACGAAGGCGAGCGTCCTCGGGAAGTTCAATGGGCGAGGCTGTGCGCAAATACATAAACTTTAATATACCAGCCTCGCTTACCAAGTCTTACAAAGACATGCATTTTTCGCTACCGAGTCTGTCATCTTCATCAGTGGACACTGCCCTAAAGCAATCTAGTAAGAGGAGACGGGATACGTTTGCCAACCCACCACGACCTCAAAACATACCACAACACGACGGTGCTCGTCAGTCCGCACCTGACGACTCTAGAGATGAGGGGAGCAATTTTTCAAGTGCTTCTCAGCGGTCCAATACTGCTCCAGTACCACAGCGTGAATTTAGCGACAGCAGCTCATCAACTCTTTCTCCAACAAGTCAAACACCAGTCGAACGGCCGGCGCCCAGGCTGCGTCGGTCCAACTCCGAAGGGTCTCTGCTCTTGTATCGGACAAGATCTCTTGCGTCATCCCTGGGCGACGACTCGCGCTTTGAAAGTGTACATGAACAGGTTAATAGCAGGCTCAAGGCCCTGAAAGACAGTTGGCAAGACTCGAACTTCAAGCTTCCGAGTCCCTCGCTGCACAATTTCAACCTGAGTTCAAGTACCGAGTTGTTCAGAAACCGTAATTTCAGCAATGTGTCCAAGACACGTGACACCGAGGAAAGACCTGCGTCTCGAGCGGGCATTCGTGGAAGTGCATCTGGACCAACACCACGCAGTGATTCCTTAAAACCGAAGCGATCTTCACTCCGCCCTGGAGATGCAGAGAATGAAATGCATCCGTACTTCACTCAGGCTCTTCAAGAAATAGAGGGAGATCTGGTGATACTGGGAGGCTATCGTGGCTCTGTTTTGCGGTCAGCGGAACCTCCCCATCGGCAGTTGTGGGTGCCGATCAAGGTTGGACTGAATCTACGAAAAGTAGATCTTGAGGTCCCTCTTGATCCAGATGCTGATGAGAAGATGCATGAGACTATTATTCCTAGTGGTATGTTGACCCACATTGGCCCGGTTGATATTGCAAAACGCCTTTTCAAGCGATTGAGGGCGAGCGATAACGCTAAAGAGGGGAAGCTGAGAATACACAACTACGGGTACGATTGGAGACTATCGCCACATTTTCTCAGTAGGCAGATGATTAAGTTTCTTGAAACACTGCCTTGTAATCAGCCGGAAGTGCCTCCAGAGAAGCGGGGCGCTACAATGATTGCACACTCACTAGGTGGTCTAATCACCCGCCATGTGATCAATCAGCGTCCGGACCTTGTTGCTGGAGTCGTATACGCTGGAGTACCTCAGCGATGTGTCAACATTCTCGGCCCCTTCCGGAACGGGGACGATGTACTCTTATCTTCCCGTGTACTGACCGCTCAAGTAAACTTCAGTATCCGCACGTCCTATGCACTACTGCCCCTTGACGGAAAATGTTTCATCAACAAACACACCAAAGAGGAATATCCCGTCGATTTCTTTGACGTAAACACCTGGAAGGAATGCCGCCTATCCCCTTGCATAGCAGCGCCCCTGCCGCGCCCCGAGCCCCCCAAAGACAGTACCTTCAGCGTCAGCAGCCTCATGAACGCCGTCTCAAACGTCCTCCCCACCTTTCCTCCCCGCAAAAACAGCTCCGCAAAAGACACTTCCGACGTAGCCCGCAACGCCGCAAACGCCGTCACAGAAGGCAGTGCCGAGCAAGCCGGCATGGGCCCGCAAATGGGCCACAACCAGGCCACCGAAACTTCCAAGGAACCCAACCCTGCAACCCACGTTACGATCCCGTACAATAAGGCTGTTGAGTACCTAACTCGCACCCTTGCGGAAGTCAAGAAGTTCAAGCAAGAACTCGATCACCGACCTGAACACACGGCCGCAAACCGATATCCCCCCATCGCCCTAATTTACGGGAAATCCATCCCCACGGTTTACGGCGCGAAGGTGGAAAGCAGAGAAGCTATCAAGCGCGCGGATGTGTATGATGAACTTGCGTTTGCAAGTGGAGATGGCGTTGTGTTGGCTCGCGCGGCTATGGTACCTTCTGGGTACAGTGTTGTGAAGGGAGGCGTGGTGTCGAGCGACCGCGGCCATGTTACGCTTTTGGGTGATTTGGAGGCTGTGGGGAAGTGTTTGCATGCTGTTGTTCAGGCGAGGAAGAAGGGGGTGGGGTTGGGGGAGAAGGCGCGGTGAGGAGAAGGGGGTTGTGGTCGGGAAAGAAAGGATATTTATATATCTATCAACTAGATTATTAAGTAATTGGATGTATTTAGTATCGAGAGACGGATTGAGAGATGCCGTGTGATGTTGCTTCGAGTTGGGTGGTGGTGATGTCGGACTGTGATGGTTATGTGTCGTTGGTGGTCTTCGGGATAGGATGTCTGATACGTTTACATACTCTGTTATATCCCTTGCGTTTTTTCTAATCTGTTTTAATTCACATAATACATCCCGAATAACTTTGAAAACGTTCAGCGTGATTTAATGCTTCACAGTTTCCATGTCACGAGTGTGATGGCCTTTCCCTAAATGGCATTGCTTCATACATCGTAAGCATAAATCGCATCGTGCACGTTGTTTTCTTTTGTTTTTTTTTGAGAGAGAGAGAGAGAGGGAGAGGGAGGGAGGGAGAACGCAAGGGACTATGTTGGATTGCGAACTGGAGGGACGAACTGGAGACCATGTGTGTGTGTACTTGTAAAGGTCTACATGTATGTATCGGAGTCTAGTATCTGACTCCATGTTCAGCAAAGTCTTTGACATTGTCGAGAATGCACAAGCTGGCAAGATGGTGTTTCTTTGATGTCGTGTAAGAAATGTATTTTCTGGGGAGGGATTGGCAAAGTGATGATGTGTGCAACTCCGAACTGTAGCCAGTGAAGCATGATTATGTGTAGGTTGGCTAAGTGTTTGGAGGATTATTGGAGAAGGAAGGTGTTTAATATTTGTTTATCAGGGATGCTTGAGAAAGGTGCACTATCTTTTTCTTTTATTCATGATATTTTATGATAAAATTCAGTTTGAAAGTCAAAGACCGTTGGGAAATGGGGGGATTGAGTGTGTGGCAAAATTATTGATTCAACTCCTAGCAGAACGGGGTTTACGCTGGGATAGAAGTGAAGATCTTATGTGCACTGAGGCATGTATAGACGTTCTTTAAGTAACAGTGATTGTGAATTATATGTTCGTGGTCATCGTTGTCTTGCTCTGTGAACATATGTTGATTGGACATGCAGAGACTTGCTGAAATATTTTGCGGGAACACATATGCATAGAATCCTGGTGGTTGGCCAACTGATTTGAGCATGAAAGAACATAGATGAACTCCGAAGATGCGCATAAAACCTGGGAGATTGTAGAGGCAGTGGAAGTCAACACCACATTGCTGAAACACATGAAGTGGCCATCAGTATCATACTGTCTCAGCATAAACAAGACGATCTCAAAAGGAACTCTTCCTTGCATTCCATGTCCAACAAAGAAACAGAAACCTGAGCTCGTTGAAATGGACGGAGAGCGAGGAATCCGACACCGAGCAAGTTGGCCAGAGATCATCCCACGGGATCCAGTCGTGGAGTCTTGAACAGGCTGTTTGGTTCCTGTGGCGAGTCCGTTGACGTACCTGGGACTGTGCGCTTCGCTTTCCCCGTGCCGACTGAATCATTGCGCAAGAACAATCTGCGTCTAAGAGTTGCATGTGAACTTGAACGTCTACCCCGGGCCCATTGATAGTGACGGGGCATGGATGTTGACTAAGAACACTGAGGTGGGCTTGACTTCGCTACTGATGGTCGTCCTTGTGACGAATTTGTCCGTGCGAAGAATTTGTCCGGATTTTACTAGAGCTGGGTCTCGTCACCCCTATTCTGGTGAGCGTGGCTGTTCCGCGGAGCATATATGTAGGCCCTCTCCAAGGGATTCGTCGACGCCGCCATGGTGTCATTAGTGCAGCAGTCTCCCCAGCTGGCACGGGCTGCCGTAGCAGACACGGGTGCCCGTGGGCATCAGCACAGGAAACGTTCGGGCCGGATTTAACGGTGCAAGTGAATTGATGTTGTCAGGCGGAGGCGCTTACGAGGAAGATCACAATTGAGCCGGCGGCATCAATGTCGATGTTGAGGGATTGACGCCAGCTTATCTCGGTTAGCGCGCTTGGCGCTTGTTCGGTAACGGTACCCAGGTAACTGCACTAGGCTGTCCAACATCAGACGTTGCTAGAATCTTTGATCGCATCGCCAATCGCTCAACATACTCGATCCAGAATACGGACTCCGATAGAGATCGATTTCGACTTATTGTAGCTTGCTGCACCGAAGCGAAATTTCAAGTTTAGTCTCATCACCATGTTGGCTCCACAAGTCGTGCGTAGTTGGATGCAGGCATGGTCACGGCGCGCTAACCACAATGATTGGCTGTACAAGGAATGACCCGCAGCGGCAGGGCTGAGAGATTGTTCTGTGTGGAGTCCTACAAAGCTTCCATGGCTCTAAATGGTAACTGAACTCTACTAACAAGGTGAGAGTTTGTTGCATCCGCTTTTTTCGAGAAAGCTGATGACTCGCTTGCTCCAGTAGAGGCTCTTGGACATCCATCTCCCGCACTCCCTTCATCCGACAAACTATCATTGCTGGTTAAGCTGTGGAGTTGACATGTGAAGCTGATACGTTCAATTCAAGTCAAGGCCCTGCATAGTATGCAAACACGCTAGGCCGTACGCTAGGTGTACCCAAACCTCCTTTATTCAACACCTAAATAGCAAGCATCTAGTTGCTCACTACTGTCATGGCGACGGTTAATTGAGTTGCCTCACACTCCAACCGTGCCGAGAGCATGAGGCCACAAGCGGGTCAAGTCACTTCGCTACCATGGCAGAGGATACTGCAAAGCACGACAAGGTACCAGCCTGTATACTTGTCTCCTCCGCGGTCACGTAGCCCAATCATTTCAATGAACCTCCACTCTCTACAATGGTGCGACTTTCACTGTAAGATAGACTGATTTTCGTCCGGGAAAAGGTCCCAAGCATCTGGTATCGATAGTGTGTGTGTGGAGACTTAACACGGATATACTGCCACTTGGAAGAATATGTTTGCTAGCATACTCACAGAACCATGGCATATAGCGTAGTTAGTCATTCCCACTAGCGGCTCCGGATTTAATTTTTCCTAAAATCCATCAACACAGCTTGCTCGAAATCAGACGATTGGCAGTCGCTTGCACATACTCTCCTCCACTATTCGGCTTTGCTGCCGCGGCATCACGCCTTCTTCAGCTCGGCTCAAGCCGACGTTCTATCGAATACACCCGTGTCCAAAAACGAGACTTTCACGAGAATGGAAAATGGTTATGCTTTTTACTCAGAGATATGATAATACTACTTAGTTGGCACCGTTTGAAATATGGTGCGTTAGTTGCATTTGGCAGCGGTTTGTTAACTACACATAACTAGTGCGGTAATCATGTACATCTTGCATCCAGGCTAGACAAACACGAATGAGGCCCCCCTCCCATGGATTTGCTTGTTCTTGATACACGGTGGAGTAGTCGTGCCTCATTGATTCCAAAAGCACTCATACAGAGTCCACGAGACGTTGATCGTTTCCGCATCTGGATTCATTCTGCTCCGACGATGGATTTTCCAAACTGTGCCACACTGTAGCCTTCGTCGTGCCTCATCTTCAATAATTTTATGCGCAATTGTAACACGTTTAGCCGTTCCAGAATCACAGTGAGAGACGCGCATCCATCCTACACATATATCATCACGGTGGTCTATATCACCACCACCACCACCACCATCACAATTGCATGCCCATTGAAGCACAGCAACTAAAGTTTCGACTGGACAGCGTTCAGAGGGATGAGCGTCTTGGTTAATTGGTTGAGCAATGATTGGTAGGCTAGAACACGGAGGCTCCGCGGCAGTTATGTTCGTTGAACCGGTTCTTGAATTTACCGACTTTCTGGCGGAGTGATGGCATCTCTGAAAATGACGGTGACTGAAGAGCCCATGGCCGTATGTGCCGCCTGCCTGCACAAATAGAGCGTAATACTGGCTTTGTTATACTGCGCCTGTCGTCTGGTGGAGCTCAGCAACCAACATCAAACAGCCTGCAATATTGCGTAAATAGTACGAGTGGCTGTAGTATAGGCCTTTGAAACGGGTCGACCGCAGCCGCATCAAAGACCTTGAGTTGAGCACGGCCGATAATGGATACCCTCCACTACGATGCGCCGACGATGGAAGGACCCCTGTGTCGGCTGTCAGCAAGCAGCCGCTAGAGACTTCGTTCCCAATCCGATCGTCTGCTTGCATCATTTGCATTATCAGTGTACTATCAACGGCTAGTTGGATACAGATGTGCTGAGTATGTTTTTGGCTTATGCCATTCTTGTCACCCATAAAATGTAGCCTTGGCGCCAACTTGGCAGGTTGAACGACCGCCTCACAGGGCCGACGATGGAACATACTCTGCGAAGCAACAATGTACGTACCGACTCAAGAATCGAGACCCTGGTGAACCGATCACCACAAGCCACGCTGGAAGTTCCCTTCAGCCACCTGCTAAGGGCATCAAACCATGCAGGTATATTCCCCGCGATTTTCACTCTGGGCGGTCGCTAGGCGTTAAGCCATGGAGAAGACAAGTGTAGCATTCATGCTATGGAAAGCCTTAGTGCGCAGGTGGGTGGCTAGTGGCAAGGGTATTCGCACGCCACTAGCACGCCCGCCACTTGACAAATTCAGGCTGGCCCACAGTTCGAGTCTTTGAACTACGCCGCAAAGTAGCGTGACACCCATGTCATTTTGGGCTATCCGCTGGCCGCCAGCGACCAAGGCTGTGTGCGCTGCAAAGGTGGCATGCGGAGATTGTACGGCCCAGGTCTAGCAAAAAGCATACTCCTGGGCGCGTGTCGTATGGACCGATCTCCAGCAATCTCTCGACTGAGGGGTTACTATGCTCTCCTCCGAGGAGCTTGAGGCGTGGTTGTGGTCTAGCTATTGTATCAGATCTATAACATAGATGGTTCCGTCTGCTTGTGCAACAATCTAATTCAGATCTCAGATTCTCCAAGTCTCTCACACCAGTGTTGTGCTGTCGTTGTCCATTGTTCTTTGATCTGTGCTACGACTAAAAAGCGTAACTGCACCGGTAGGATTGCATGTGGATCCTTCACCAAGACGTTGGCGCTAACTGTATATAAGACCTGCATCATCCGTCATGGAGCAACGCGTCCCAACTTATACTTCGAGCCTATATCAGTACATGGAGAACTACCCCGAATCCTACGAGGCGCCAATCAGCAATACAAACGAACCGATGACTTCTCAACTCCACACTGGATCGTTCCATGAACGACCATCTTTCCACAACTTTGAGCGCGATACATTAGTACATCGATCAATGGGTACTCCAATGGAATTCATGGATCTCTTGACACTTGATGCACCTTGTGGTAGTCCACAGTCAACAAGCTCTACCATAAGTCACCCTGAGAGCGTGCCTTCACCGCCTTACACCGGCCTCCCAACTTACGATACCCTCGAACCAGCTTTCCACCACGTCCAAAACAATTCAATCAACCATTCGGTTATCTCGAATGATTCTGAGTCTCTCTGGCCATCTACCTATCCTGAGGTTACCTCCTGGGACTCACGAACTTATGTTCTGCCCTATCACGAAATCCCCAGCTACGAACAGCGCTCCTACCAACTGATGCCGACCATTTTGCCTGAACCAAAAGTCTCTGCACCCACACCCTACCTGTCATACCCTATGCCACAGCAGGGTTCCCTGGATCCTGCTGGGAACTCTGGAGCTTTCGATCTCTCAGGCTTCAACAACAACGGCGATGAAAGCGATGACCTGAGCGATTCCGATAGCGATGTGTCGTGGCAGGGCGAACCCTCTTCATCCAGGGGCTCGAAAAGGTGGTCTTCCAGAAGGGCTCAGCCCAGATCCAATGTCTACAGGCTTGAAGGATGGTCCACCAACACGTGTACCTTCCACACAACAACCGATCGTAGGCATCAGTGTGGAGAATTGATTGGACCCAAAAAAGACACACCTTGCCCTAAGAAATTCCAACGACCAGAGCATCTTCGTCGTCACATCAGAAGTGTTCATGGCATTGGCCTCGTCAAAATTTACAGATGCAAGGTTCCTGACTGCTTTGCGCGCTTCCCAAGGAGTGACAACTTCCGCTCGCATTATCTCACACATTTGAGGGTTGGAAAGAGAAAAGGCAACAACAGGAAGATGAAATTCCAGGAACTCAAGGGGATCCTTGGTCCCAAGGAAAAAGACCTGATAAGATGGATCAAGAAGAACCACAAGCAAACCTAAGCTCAGCCCTGGATCGGTGTCGTCTGGTCTACGGCACTCGACCGTATGTCGATGTGACTCATTTCCGGGTTGTCTTTCTGATCTTTTGACGTTACTGGTGTTGGGGATGCAAGTGATTATCATGCTTCGGCATACTTTGGGTCATTTTATCGCACATCTCCTCCTGTTGTTTATAGATTTTCTTCGTGTGCAAACCCCCTTAAACAACAACAATGAAAATTGAAGAATACCCACATCTCAAATCCCAAGAATCTTGATTTGCGCACTTCTCATGCAAGACATATCTCAGAGATCCCCAAGGGGTTCTGCGGTCCATGTCGTCCCTGTCTTCGGCTCCAGATTGCACTAAATTCGCCACTGGCATTTCCCGCATGAGCCGATGAACACGTGAGATGTGACAGTGCTCCCCTCAATCGACGTACGGAGACCCCTTGATCGAAATCGGTATGATCAAGATCGCTAACAATGACGCTTCTCACACATGCTCGTGGCTAACGTCAGCCAAAGCCAGGTCCAATTTGACTACACGCTAATGCACATGGCTGACCTCGATGGAACCTGGATAGAAGGCATTGACACTGGTCAGAAGACGCAAGCCAGCCAATCCTCTCTTTTTGTCGAAAAAAAATGGAGCCCACTAGTAGATGGATTGCCATCAGCCACAGAACCAGGATGTGGCGAGCTGCAGGTGCCTCTCTGAGGGATAACTTCCGGTTCGCTAGAGTTTGACCAGTTGGCGTTAGAGTTGCCAGGTGGATGGTAAGTGGTCACTGCGTGGGAGACAAGGTCCTCCTTGTAAGGGCTTAGATATTGTCTATACTCGAAGCGGTAACCGGAAAGGAATTCAAATGCATGTGCACTGGCCGTTTTCCAAGGATGTCAGTCTGACGACGTTGGGCTCCGTCTCAGATGCAAGCGTCAGTGTCATACGACCCAAGATTCGTGATGCGATCTGGTACAAGTCTGCCCCACACCAGGTTAATGGGCCCATACTCAGTGTGCTTTTGCTATCCTCCTGCACAGGAACCATGGAATGATTCTGGGCGAGCAAGTATCCATTTGCATTTGTACTTGTATTTTACAAATATCGATCCAGCAAAAGGTCCCACGGAGCCATCACGGGAATAACAAAAAAACGACAGTGGTGGATATACAAGGTGCCTACTATCTTGCGCCTCCGGATCTGTAGGCCGTTGTTGTGGACCTCTGGAAAGTCGTCACATTCTCTACGCGCGCCGCAGCGCTTGCATGAGCCAACCAACAGTGGCACAGTAAGCCATTACCTGGCACGGCATCCTTTCCAGCTTAGTATGTGGGAGGATTGGCCGCATTCCCAAGCAATACTTCAATTACAAGCAAAAGATGGATTCACATGGATTGCTCCCCTGCTATGCTTGTAAGAATGCCGTCTTTTTAGGATATGCTTGCAATATTCACAATACGGAATACGGTCTACCTGCTACAGCTTCGTCAGCTTCGCAACGGCCTGGCCAGTGCCAACTACAGATCATGTGCTTGGTAACCGTAGTAGGCACTGAATGCGAGCGCGTAAATATGTGGGTACCTCATTGAGTTAGTGAGGCGAAAGTGATTAGGATGCCGTTCTAGCCTGCAATCCACTATACCTTCACCGGTAGACTACCCTCTCAGTTAAGCTGTACCCAGATTTCTTTGTTCGGATATCATACCTCGGACGAATTCGTCCAAGAAAAAATATCCTGTCTTTAGAATTGCAGGGGCCAAAGAGGCGTCGCCCAAATACACGGTGACAGCAAAGCAATCCCACAGATACCCAAGAAGAGACCAACAACACGTAGATCATCGTTATGCAGAGCAGCTTCGCCTCAAAAGTCCCAGCCTCTGAGCGGCCACATACAGCGTCAAAGGCGCATGCAGCAATGCCCAACTCCCTAACTCAAAGCGATCTGATCACATTCCTGCGGCTGTACATCAACGTCCGATCCACTTCTCCGCATGTACATTAGTCCCTCCATGGTTGATGTCAGCTTCACGTGGCAATTGGCCGACAAAGTACCGCCCCGGGCTTGGTTTTTTGTAAGGCCAAATGCTCGAGTCGAAGCAGGTACCGGGCGTTGATCGGTGAGACGGCTCGTAGTAGTAAGTAGTAACCCTAGAAGCCAAACCATCCACCCATTCTACACCTAGTAGTACGAATGCTCAAAGACATCACAATGCCAAATGATCATATGGATACCACACACATACACACACACATCCAGCCTAAACCTGAGGCCATACACTAGACAAGAAACATGCATGAATGCGCTGTGCATCCAAAAGTTGAACTGACCAAATCAACACCATCAAAACCACATACACCAACTCACCGCGACCACAACTCAGAACCACCGAATCGAGATACTCACAGCGCACACCTCTAACCCCCACACCAACAACCCCAAACGCAGATCCTCACCACGCCAGAACAAAAAGAACAAAAATTCACGTCCATCCACTAACCTCCTGGTCTACCACCCCCATCATCTCCTCTAACCATACGCACACCGCAACACACCCAACAGCCGCGCGCAAATCATTCTTCCGCGGGAACCAATACGCACGGCGCATACGGCGCAAGTGTCATGCATGCACTTTAACATACTGTGCTACACACGTTTTATTCCCTACGACGCCGCAAGTTGGGGGGGGGGGGCACACACCCACATACATGAGGCTTATCCTGCACGCCCTACAGATGTCGCACAAAGCCCTTGAACAAGCGCGGTGCATAAAGGATGGTAGATTGTAAGAGAGAAGAAAAAAACGGTCGGGAAGGGGGGAAAGAGGGATGGAGATTGGTTGGCTTTGCATTGGAGGGGGCTGAAGATGGGTGCTCCTTCGTTTGTGCGTGTGGTAGCATGGAAGGCTAGGTGAAGGGCTTCTATGTAAGGGATGGCATGGTTTGGGGCTAGTGTGGGTGTATAGACCGCCCTCTCTTCTTTTTTTTACGCTTGCAGATTACGGGATGGGGATCTGGTGGGTGGTGAAATGAAGGAGAGGATGTGGTGATCCTGGATTTTGGGGGTGTGTGATCAAGAAGGTATAGTAGTACCAATACTCGTAAGTTTTCTTTTTCTCTTTCGCCTCGGGAGCTGAGAGGATTCATTGTTTGAGGCTACGCCGTATGCGGGTCCCGGGGTAAATGCATGCCGGCGTGTATGTACTTCGCCTCCACATTCCAGTGTCGTTTTGTTGGCAATTTTACTACAGTATTTCGATGGTGGAGGCTGCCAACACCTACTATTCTGGCTGCAACTGCAGGGTTTGCATGCAGTGATGTCTCCGGGGCGACATCCGCGTTCTAGTGCACCCGCTGCTATGGCGTGAGCTGCGGCTCATGAAGGTCTCCCACGCGTGGTATGTCATTGATGTGCCGCCATCTGGCATGCAGGTAGCGGCTAACGAGTTGCTTGAGCGCCGACTTCGATTCGATTTGCTTCCTTGGACGGGATTTGGAAACTTCGACTCTTGCTCGGTTCCAATGTGCTGGATACGCAATATCTATCAGTGATGAAAGGCACTTTGGGATCGAGACTCGCGTACATGCAATAGATGAAGCATGACAGATGATGATAACATTTTGGTATGACGCACGAGTTAGGAGGCGGTGAATCACGAAGAATATGTCATGCATGGTGAGCAATCGGGCTGTGACTTGAGATGCTCCCAGGAAACGGGCAAATCTTCATTCGCAGTTTTGAAATCGTTGTCTAAAACAAATCTTGTAGGCTGAATTTATGTTGGCTTTAAGCGCTGAGTGCAAGGAGTACCGGAAACACATACTACAACGCTCAATACCTATGTCTCATACATGTTTCTGTTGGCCGATGCTCCGTTATTGAATGTGTTTTTTTTAAAGCGAACCGACGTCTGATTAGTACATTCTCACCAAGTCGTTCAATGAAACTGTGATGTAATCTAAATGCAATGTATAAGGAACTAACCTCACTTTTGAAGTGAGCGAGGAAAAACTAATCATTGATGACGAAAATGGAGGCAAGGCTACGGTATCAAGAGACTTCAGTGTGAAGCCAGTAATCAAAAGTATTTGGCAACTTCAGCTACTTAAGCAGATATGAGCATGCTAAAATTCATATCCAAATGTCCCAACTTCTTCATCAAAGTCTCATGTGAAAATTCTCGTCTCAAAATGCTCCTGTCATTGTGATAATGAGTAGGGAAAACGGTGTGGAAAATGCATACATAGGTATCGTAACCGGTTAATGGCAGTATGACGTGTGTTACCATACGCTTCTCTTACGGATAGCAGATAAAGCATGAAAATCCACTATATCCATCGAGCCTGGCATAATGAAAAACCGAGAAGCGTGTTCTTCGTCGCCTGATATGGTGAGGGCATGCAAATGCCAGATGTCATCACCACACAATAGAGCTGACAACCGGGAAGCAAGGCGAGAAGCAAAAATCAAAAGTACCAAATGGAGGCATGAGATGTTTGGAAGAGGTCAAGGTAGAAGAACGGAAAAGGAGCTAGGTTTTACTCGAGAGGACACTTATGCAAATGTTGACTGGTTTGCTGTCACGATTTCCCAGAAAAGAAGATGAATGAGAAGTTTGAGAGATTGCTTGAAGCCTCAAATGGAATGCTTTGTATCATGAGAAAGATTATGAGGACTCTGCTGGTGTATACTGCCCCCTTTTGTAAAGCTTGTGGTATTTCCGCGTACTCACTAAGAGAAGCGCACTCGCAAATCATGCAAGGGTTGAGGATATAGGCTTCTTCCCGACTTCCAATGCGTCACTGTAGGATCGAGATGCTAGCTGTCTGTTTTGAACAGCAGTTTTCATAGAACGAAGACGTAGACATGTTTTACTCTTTATACTATATCCTGATAACATTGGTCAACTCTAATCCTTGGGGATGAAATGTCAACTTACCACCGTCGCGGCATATTCTTGGGTCTCGAAAGTAGTCAAGTGGGTATAATTTGGCTCTTGTGACTGAATGAACAATTGGAGTCTATTGGAAAAGCCCTCTGACATACGACGTGACTACCAGCGGCCTCTGCCTCTACCCCGGTCACGCCAGTCATCCCCACCTCCACGTCCTCTCCCTCCCCTTCCAAAGCCTGACTCTCGCTCTGGTGGTGCTTCGCCTCTTCTCCATTCGCCTGATGGTACACCTCCCCCACTCAGCCTCCTGTCATCGAATCTACCGCCTCCGCCTCTTCCTCCTCTTCCATAACCACCCCAATCGCCTCGACCGCCGAAGCCATTTTCTCTACCCCGTCCACCATACGAGCCTGCCGGTGGCCCCCTTCCTGGTCCAGATAGTGGTGGCGGCGCGGCAGGTACGCCGCCGTCGGGCAATGGTGGGAGGATCGCACATGCGATATAATCACCAATAAGGAATTTGACGTCTGCAAGGGTTCTGTCGGGGTCGCCGTCCAGCTGCTTGAGAGCTTCCGCAACACTTCCTCCCTCACTCATTTCCATGTCAACGTCATCATTCCTTGATGGAGCGCCTACTATGACAGAGCCTATGTCTCGCGATATAAACCGGCCTGGTGCGCCTGGTCGGTTGGAGCCTTGAATGTCCGGGTATACGAGTCGGAATGCGATGCGAGATCCAGCATATGGTTGTGGTAACATTGATGGTACTGCGCTAAGGAGAAGCTGACAGAGTTCGCGCAGAGTGCAGCTTTGCCATGTGTAGATTTGGACATTTGTTGGAAGACGTGGTAATGTCGGATCGAACTCATCTAACCTTGGTTGTGTCAGTTATGTGATGGCACTTTGTATCATACTAGCCACTTGCCTGTGGAATGATCCTTGCTTGAAGAAGAGGCGCAATAAGAAAGGTGTGGTTGTTTGCCGGTCAATCTTCGCTGGGGCAGCCATGTTGGAGGTCACAGTCTTGTCGCAAACTAATGATGAAAGCACGCGATGTGATCCAATAGTGTTCAATGAAGTTTTATAGCATATGCGACAAAACAGAATCACAATTCGTTATCTTGGCATGCGATGTTGGTGGAGTACAAGTGAGGGAACGCGACGCGGAGAGCTTCCACTAGCGCCATTCCTCGGCAGAATCGCGCTGCTGATCAGTGAACTTCCATGTCGCATTCTACGTTCGCTCTTTATTTGCACTCGAGATAACGCCAGACTACGAACAACACAGTCGCCAAGATGGATTTCGCAAAACTCATGTCCGCACATATCAAAAAAGGGAAGGAGACGGCGGCAACATCGGAATCAAGCGACAAAAAGTACCTCAAGCGCAGCGAAATTGAGGCCCAAAGGCAAGCGGCATATCGGGCTGAGCAGGAGGCCGCAGAGAAGGCACGACTGGAGCGACTGGAGAAGAAACGCAAAGCCGAAGAAGATGAGGCTGAGAAGGAGGCACAACGACGGGAGAAGCGGATGCGCATGGCGGAGGAAGCAAGACGGATTAGAGAAGAAGAGGAAGAGGCAGAAGAGCGGCGGAGAAGAAAGCGCTTAGGCTTGCCAGATCTACCACCAAAGAAGAAGGAAGGCGAAGGAGAGGGTACACCTGTGCCCGAAGACGAAGATATTGAAGATGAAGAGTTGATCGCAAAACTGAGAGCCCTCGACGAGCCAGCCCGAGTCTTCGGCGAGACACACAAGCAACGCCTAAAGCGATACAAGAAGCGTGTCGGCGCAGACAACCTAGCAGCAATCATGACCGACGGTCCGATCCCGACAACCCTACAACTAGTACCAGAGAAGGACATGAAGGTCAGCTTGCAGGTACCAAAGGACAAGGAGGGCCGAGAGTTCCTCTTCAGGCAACTCGCAAGTTACTTCACAATGGTACTGAAGGAATGGGACGTGACGCTTGCGCGCCGAGATGCAGAAGTCAAGGAGAGTTATCAAGGAAAGCAAGCTTACGCTGCCATGGTGCAAGCGCGCGAGAACATGCGTCCGCTGTTCAAGAAGCTGGAGAAGTTTGACCTCCCAGACAGCATCATCGAACCTGTTGTAGAGATTGTGCATGCAGCACAAGAAAGGCGATACGTGGATGCGAACGACGGATACCTACGACTCAGTATTGGCAAGGCAGCATGGCCGATTGGTGTTACGATGGTGGGTATTCACGAGAGAAGTGCACGAGAAAAGTTGCACGAGAGCGACAAGAATGCAGCACATATCATGAGTGACGAGATTACACGGAAGTACCTGCAGAGCATCAAGAGGTGTCTCAGTTTTGCGCAGACAAGATGGCCACCGACGGATCAGTTGCAGCTCATGGGTTAAAATTAGTATCTGCTTAGGTGCATGTAGATAACGAGACCACCAAATATTCCCCGTACTTCTGCATACTATGATTTTCACCATGCGCCATCTGTATTCTGAGTCTTCAAAATTTCAAACCACAGACGATGACGTACTTGGGGAATACGTGAAGCGCTGCCTCCTCGCGTGAGCACGTGCGGGGCAATTGGCAGAACTTGACATCGTCCAATCGTCGTGCATCTCCACTTTTACTATCAACGCTCTCTTCATCTTTCTTCTTCACCTTCAATAAGAGCTTGACGACTGGAAAATTCAAGTCAGTCTTCTCTTAAAGTGTTGTTGTCGCCATGCACGAAATCGTCACTTTACAATTCGGCACGCAAAGCAATTATCTCGGAACGCACTTTTGGAACACTCAGGCAAGTACAGAATTCCATTGGCCCATCATGTGTCAATATATTCATGTTTTTATTTGTTACATATTCTTTCCTGGATGTGTACCGAATGTCTCATTGCAAAACTTCGCTCTCATATACCCCACCATTACTTCATTCACGCACTTTCGCACCATTCATGCACAGTCTCCTTAAACTTTTGACGGAGTAGAGTTTATCCAGTTTTCTGACTTTCTAAAAGGAGTCGTACTTTACATACCCACCAGAGGATGAATCGCCCGTCAACCATGACATTCTCTTCAGGCCTGGTTTGGCTCCGGATGGCTCAGACACCTTTACTCCAAGAACCCTGATATATGATCTCAAGGGTTCTTTCGGGAGTATGCGGAAAATCAACGCACTGTACGAGGCCGAAGACGACCGAAGCATTCTGGATCAACCTGGTGTCTGGCCTTCCAAACCTATCGTTCAACGTGCGTCTGAGACCATCCCGCAATCAGCCTACCAAGAGCATCTTGACGCTGGTCTCGAACCACCTCCACTCAGCACATCCTCAGTTCGGTACTGGTCTGATTACAGTCGCGTCTACTATCATCCCAAATCCATCGTCCAGTTGTCAGAGTTTGATGTCAACGATAAGCTTATGCCTTTCGAAAACTGGGATGTTGGTATGGAACTTTTCGAGAAGCTCGAAAGAGAAGTAGACTTGGTTGATCGAGATCTTCGTCCATTTGTCGAGGAATGCGATGGAATCCAAGGGTTGCAGATTTTTACTGGCGTGGATGATGCTTGGGGTGGCTGGACTTCCGGATGGCTCGAAAGATTGAGAGACGAGTATGGAAAGATGAGCATCTGGACTTGGGGCCTTGGGGATCATGGTGCTAACAACAAAACCCCGAGGGTATGGTGGCTGATATGGGATATCTAAACATCACTGACGACATATAGGAACAACGCCTAAAGCAGATCGCCAACTCAGCTCGCTCACTCCAAGTGCTTGGCGAACAGTCCTCGGTTTACGTACCGATATCGAATACGCCAGCTAAAGTCCCAAGTTATCTAAAATACGACTCAACATCCCCGTGGCATGTAGCAGCCTTACAGGTTGTGGGAATAGAAAGCATGACGATTTCCTCTCGATTACGTACTACATTGGGCGGACGAGGTACACTTCAAGACCTAGAAGACGCCATCAACAGTACTGGAAAACGACGTATAGCGAAGTTTGAGATGAGCATCGCGGACCCAAATGTACTTTCAGACAAGGCTGCTGATTTAGCCGAATCCATGGCAAAGCTTGGAACAACGCGATCAAGACAGACTAGCGAAGGTGACGATGAACTAACGGAGTTTGATATTGATGTTTTCACCCGCGATTACCGGACCGCAACTGGAAAAGCAAAGAAAGAGCATGTATTTGGGAGGGCAGAGGCTTCTCGCGGAGAGTGGTCGTTACCCGATGATGGCGAGAATGATCCTCACGATAGGTTCAACAATGGACCGGCAGTGCAAAGGTATGTTCATTATTTCTTTCCGATGAACACTGCTCCCTGTTGTCATTGAATCTGTTTACGCGTCTAGAAAAACGGTGCTATAATCTACATGCGCTTACAACGACTAGATATACTGCTCCTCTTCTCTTCCCCTTACTCGACAGCTTTCCCAAGTCCATGTTCGAAGTAGGATCGGGGCATACTGAGAAGCTTGCTGTTCACGCTGGGCTCACGACAAGTACTGCTGTCGCGGGACAGATAAGAACACTCGAGCCGATCATAAAGCGCATGATCAACATCGAAGAAAGAGAGGCGCTCTCTAATGGCCTTCAAGTTCTTGCAGAGGAGTACGATGAAGGCTGGGATAGTGGTTCAGATAGCGACGACGATGAATAGTCGGGTCGTATGCGTATGCTTTGAACACCTTCTTTCCACAAATTTTATGCTATACACTTCTTTTCCTAAGGATAGTACTGGGTGCAGACATGAAGTACGCAGTGACAATCGCGAGTCAGTCATTACTAGGTATGTAGCGTCCCTAGTTATGCTATTCTCTGCGCATGCACTAGGACCTTCACATCACCACCCATATCGCACCGAAATCAGTGTGCACATTCCTTATCCTAGAAAACAGATGTCGACCTGCAGCCAAGATCGTACGAGGCAAAGGAAAGATCGACTTCCTACCACCATTCACACACAACCTCATACTACCTATTAGACGTGTCGCGTCGTATACCATTACTGCATCGTATACCTCATTTCACTTCAACAAAAAAACAACCCCTGAACAACCCTCATCAGCCAACACGCCAACCTACAACCCCATGGCACAATCCGCCCCAGCACCTGCTGACCTGTGCCCGCAGATCGTAGTATAAACCGTAATCTTAAGAGAAAGAAAAAAAACGATCCCACTACGGAGGTGCCTTTCAAAAGTATTGTCTGCCAAGAATAATCTAACCGAAGTACGGCCGTCTTATCCGAGGCTTGTCTCTCCCTTCTATGTACTCATTACCACCTTCTAGCTCAATTATCTTTTGAATATGTACAAGAATTCGCTCAATCCAAGCTTGGATCTTAAGTTGCGAGAGATCTCTCCAGCATTTCTGCCAGATTTTAACTGCCTCAGCCCTTGACT